TCCATTTTGATTCAAGCTTTAAATAACCTCTGAATTAGACAAAGATATATATTTTAATAAGAACACATTCTGTTTCTTTTATAATTTCTCTTATTAAAAACATCTTATTCTTTGGTACACTTTATATGTAGAATCACATCCATTGACTACAATTCTTATTTTTAGTAACTTTAAATTTTAGTAAAAGCTTAAAGAGCAGGAAATCAGGAATTGTTCATCATAAGACACTTGTCATGAAGCAAGATTGTAGGTTACTATAAAATTATAGCCAAACCGATAATTCAAATATTTTTAAAATGCAAAAAACTTATTATTTCATAGAGAGGAGACTCAGTTTTTCAAACAAGTATAAGACCTAATAGACAGACTGAAGTAGAAGTTAGCGAGGAGGCAGGCTGAATCTGTCTCTTTCTCTCTTTCCCTTCCTTTTGCAGTTTATTGAAAGGTAAATAAAAGAATCTTTTGTTATTCCTATGAAAATCATACAAAAATCTGGGTCAAAAGAGAAAGCCAAAGTTTTCATTGTATAAGTGTATTAATGATAAAGTTAACCTTAATAAAATCTTATAAACAAATCCATCTAATAATTTTAACCAATTTAACTGTAAGTTGATTTTTACCAACCTTTTATAACCTTTAACTTTTATATCCATTTAATTTTTAATGACCATTTACTTATGAATTTTAAAGCCATTTCAAAAACCAACAAATTAGACAAAATTATCTTTTTTAACAAACTCTTGATATTTGTCTTATTACCTTTTTATTAACATTTTTTTATATAGAATTGTTTCCCTTCCATCTAGGAGTTTCAATAACATATATTAATCATAATGTCAACTCTTAGAAAAACCTAGGAAGCTAAAGTAACTTTGAACTTTTATGAGTCACCAATGTTATTTGCATTCCTTAATATAAAAATAAGATATCAAGGTATATAAGCTTAAACTTATGTTTAAGAACTAATGTTCTTGTATTTTACCTTTTATATGACTCAGACATTTGGGTTTGTTTAATTTATGAGTGCTACCTTATTTTTAAGCCAGTACAGAACCATGTAAGCACAAACATGTAATACATGGACATACACAGCACATTCCTAAACACACACACACACACACACAAAGTTCTAAGAGATTTTACCCTAGAGCTCCAGCCATGAGATGGCAACACAATGCACCAGTCTGTAAAAGACAGCTGGTTCCACGTTTCTTCTGACGAAACTGGAACTTGTTCACAGGGCAACCTTTAGTTTCCCTTTCATTGCGGCTCCCAGCTTTTATTTCATGTCACGTCCCAGCGTGTGGCCCAGGGCAGAGGTGGCTGCGATCCTCACCGGCTCCCTCTCCTGCCATGAAGCACAGAATGGAGAAGAGGAGGCGGTGGCTTCCTCTCATCCCCACCTCTGTGCGTGTCCAGGGCGCACTGGCTGCCCTGCTTCCTCACTGCGGGGACCACACTGCCTGTGCCTCTGAGTGATTCTCTTTAGACCCCCAGAGCTGAGAAGTCAGTTCACGCAGGCACAGTGCAAGGGCAACCAACATCATGGCTTCAATTCCACCATGGACCACATCTAGCTCATCACTGTCTTTCCTTCTAAGACTTTAGCTTAAGCATGCCAAATTTTTTAAAATGCATATTTTTATCCTAGTTATGCTGTGAATAAAACTGTTTAAGTCTATATTAGCTTATGTGAATGAATAATGACCACAAACAGCTGAGTTTTGTACATTTTCAGGAGGGTATTTTATATTAATTGAGGAAATATTTCATGAGCATCTATCATGAGCTAGGCACAGTGCCAAATGACAGAGGCATGGTAGGACAGAAGAGATAGTTCCTGAACACAGAGGTAGACTTTTTAACAAGTTGGATGTGCACATTACAGCATAATGGCCAGAGATGATTCCTTATTAGCCCTTCAATGGCAAAAACAAAGAGCAAAATATCACGTGCGCACTAGCTCGAAATGGGCGATTGAGCGTTGCTGCAGTCATCCCATCCTAGAAAAAGTGCAAATATGTTTTTACAATTCATGAGAGATTGGCAATGTTAGATGGAGTTTCTCCATTCCCCTCCAGAGGACTAGAGTATCCCTGAAAGATGAGCAGCAGACAGAACTGGAATTAAAGTAGAAATTATAGCCCAGAGCGTGGGCAAGAAAATACTACCGCAGGAGGCGGCAGGGGATCCGGGAGTGCTCTAAGCCCAGGGGCTGACACAGAGTGAGGGATGATCCTGGGCAACCAACAGGTGGCGGTTTAGGGGCTGTAGTGCAGCCATCTCCTTCAGTTGCTCCCTCCTGATATCCCCCTTGTCAATGACCAAGCAGCAGCGGCATGGAGCACCCCAGCAGATAAGGGAGTGTGGTGTCCAGACCAAAGAGAGGGGGCAATTCCCTGGGTGTCTGATATCCCTCAGGGATAGGAGGGAGCCCGAGAGTCGAAAGACTGGCCAATGGCACGTCCGACTGTCCACTTGTCCCTGGATGCTCCCCACGATTACTGAATCGGGCTGCAGTAACATTGCTTTCACGGAGGGCCCGCTGAGAATCTCTAGCATAAAAATGCCAGAAATCACTTCAAGGATCAGCAAACATTGAGGAAAACCAACACTATAAAAGAAAGGGACAACATTCAAGAAATATCGTAATGTTTACATCATAAACTACTAACAACTAAAGACAAATGTGAGGCAAAATAAAGACATTTTCAGGCCGGGCGAGGTGGCTCACGCCTGTAATCCTAGCTCTCTGGGAGGCCGAGGCGGGTGGATTGTTTGAGCTCAGGAGTTCGAAACCAGCCTGAGC